AGGGGCTCAACCAGAGGATCCGTGAACTGGTGGGGAGTCACGGACTGATGTCCTATGCTGACACCGTGAGTCGAGCTCAGGAGGTCGAGAGCTGTCTCATTCCATTGGCTCAAGTTCCTTCTTTCTATCATGCCTCCCAGCCATCCCAGGCCATTGTCCAGCATGCTCAGCCCCTCTCGTATGTGCAGCCCAACTCTAGTTCGGGCAAGAGGAAATCTGATTATCAGAACAGAAAGAAGGGCAAGAAGGGAAATTTTGGCAGACGCGACGACCGACCCACCCAGGGTCAACTGCCGAGGTGCCCTAAGTGTGGCAGGTTCCACGCCGGAGAGTGCCTAGCAGACCAGCGAGCTTGTTACAATTGCAACCGTCCGGGCCATTATGCCAGTGTCTGTCCTGAGCCCAAGAGGCAGCAGCAGTTCCCTCCGTAGCAGCAGCAGCTTCCCCCACCGCCACCTCATCAGCAGCATCAGCAGCCCCCACCGTTCCAGCAGAGGGCTGGGGGTCAGGCCCGAGTCTATACCATCACCCATGATGAGGCCGCTCGCAACACAGGTACCATGTCCGGAATGCTTTCGATATCCCATGTGCATGTTTTTGCTTTATGTGATACCGGTGCTACCCATTCTTTTATTTCTTCTCGTTGCTTGGAGGCTCTATATTTTGGCACCGTGCTTGCTTGTGATCCTCTCGAGGTTAGTTTAGCCTCGGGAAAAATTATTATCTCTGATTCTGTGGTTCGCAATCTCCCTATCTGTATTGGTGGTCAAGTTCTATAGGCCGATGCCTATGTAATTGATATGCGAGACTTTGACGTGATCTTGGGCATGGACTGGCTCACCCGTTACCGAGCCGATATCCGGTGCCAGGAGCGCGAAGTCACCCTCTATCCCGTTTCTGATCAGCCTGTTGTGTTCTTTGGGGTAAGTTCGAGGACTGTGCCTCGGGTCATCTCTTCTATGCGAGCTAAGAAGAGGCTTTCCAAGGGTAGCTGTCAAGGCTATCTTGTTTCCATGGTAACCGACGTCGTTGATGAGCGGGTGCCCGAGCGAGTATCTATCGTTTGTTAGTACCTCGACGTCTTTCCTGATGACTTACCCGGAGGACCGCCAGACCGCCAGGTGGAGTTCACTATTGACCTCATTCCAGGAGCCGGCCCCATTTCTAAGGCCCCTTATCGTATGGCGCCGAAGGAGCTTCAAGAGCTCAAGGCCCAGATCCAGGAGTTGCTTAAGCTCGGTTTCATTCGTCCGAGTGTCTCGCCGTGGGGTGCGCCCGTCCTTTTCGTAAAGAAGAAAGACGGATCTATGCGCATGTGCATTGACTATCGGGAGTTGAACGCCCTTACAGTCAAGAACAAGTACCCCCTTCCCCGTATTGAGGACCTTTTCGACCAGCTGAGAGGAGCCAGCGTCTTCTCAAAGATTGACTTGCGTTTTGGCTATCATCAGCTGAAGATTTAGGTGTCGGATATTTCTAAGACTGCTTTCCGTACCCGCTATGGCCACTATGAGTTCGTAGTCATGCCGTTCGGACTCAGCAATGCCCCAGCCGTTTTCATGGACCTTATGAATAGGGTCTTTAATCCTTTCCTGGACCAGTTCGTCATTGTGTTCATCGACGACATTCTGGTCTATTCCCGAGACATCGATCAGCACAAGGGGCATTTGAGGATTGTGCTGGAGACTCTTCGCCGCGAGAAGTTGTATGCTAAGTTCTCGAAGTGCGAGTTCTGGCTGAACCGTGTTGCATTCCTTGGCCACATTGTGACAGCTCGAGGCATTGAGGTGGATCCCAGCAAGATTGAGGCTGTGAGCAAGTGGGATACGCCAAGAAGTGCTGCAGATGTTCGTAGTTTCCTGGGGTTAGCAGGATACTACAGGAGGTTTATCGAGGGCTTCTCGAATATAGCCCAGCCACTGACCAACCTTACGAAGAAGGCCGTGAGGTTCGATTTGAGTCCTCAGTGCGAGGAGAGTTTCCAAGAGTTGAAGAGGAGACTCACTACCGCGCCTGTCCTATCTATACCCGACCCTACTTTGGAGTTCACCATCTATAGTGATGCTTCGAAGATGGGTTTGTTATGTGTCCTTATGCAGCATGGGGAAGTCGTAGCCTATGCTTCGAGGCAGCTGAAGCCTCACGAGCAGAACTACCCCACTCATGATCTCGAGTTAGCTGCAGTTGTTCACGCATTGAAGATTTGGCGGCACTACCTCTATGGAGGCAAGTGTGAGATCTTTACCGACCACAAGAGCCTAAAGTACATTTTCACTCAGAAGGAGTTGAACATGAGGCATCATAGATGGTTGGAGCTGGTCAAGGACTACGACTGCACCATTAGCTATCACACTGGGAAAGCTAACGTGGTAGCCGATGCCCTTAGCCGGAGGAGTTATGGCCAGCTGTCTTGCTTGTTCACCCAGCAGGATGTTCTTCTTCGGGAGTTCGTGCGATTACAGTTGGAGGCAGTGGAGTCAACTTCGACAGCCGGGGGCGTGTTGGCCTCTTTGGTTGTGGGACCGACTCTTCGAGAGAGGATAGTTGCCGAGCAACCGAATGACCGTTTCCTATGCCGGATGAGAGAGTTGTCGGAAGCCGGTAGAATTGGTGGATTCGCAGTCGAATCTGATGGGGCCTTGGTCTTTGAGGGTAGACTTTGTGTCCCGAAGGTGTGGGAGCTGCGAAGGGAGATTTTGAGAGAGGCCCATAGTGCCCCGTACACCATCCATCCTGGTAGCACGAAGATGTATCAGGACTTGTGGAAGTCTTTCTGGTGGCGAGGCATGAAGAGGCAGGTAGCAAAGTTCGTGGATGGGTGCCTGGTGTGTCAGCAAGTGAAGGCTGAGCGCCAGAAACCGAGAGGGTTGTTGCAGCCCCTTGAGGTTCCCCTGTGGAAGTGGGAGTGCATCACCATGGATTTCTTAGTGGGATTGCCGAAGTCGAGGGGCGGGTATGATTCGATTTGGGTGATAGTGGATCGCCTTACGAAGTCTGCCCATTTTCTGCCAGTGCGGACGACCATGAAGGCGAGTGATTACGCTGAATTGTTCGTCAAGGACATTATTAAACTTCATGGAGTGCCCGTGGAGATTGTTTCGGATCGAGATGCCAAGTTCACATCCCAGTTCTGAGGACGTTGCACTGAGCCATGGGGACGAGGTTGGAGTTCAGTACAACTTTTCACCCCCAGACAGATGGTTAGTCGGAGCGTGTGATCCAGTACTTGGAGGATATTTTGAGGGCTGTGGTCTTGGACCGAAGCCTGACTTGGGAGTATGCCCTTCCGCTAGTCGAGCTGACCTACAACAACAGCTATCACTCTTCGATCAAGATAGTCCCGTACGAGGCTTTGTACGGACGTAAGGTCCGGACCCCTTTGTATTGGGATGAGGTCGGAGAGAGGAGAATTACAGGTCCGGATTTCGTTCAGAGTACTGCAGCGACCGTTGAGGAGATCCGGAAGACCATCAGGTCTGCCCAGGAGAGGCAGAAGGTCTATGCCGACCGGGAGAGGCA